GCCATGGACTTACTTCCCAGGCTGGACCCTGATCTCCCACACTCCTGGCCTTGCAGGACATCCTTGGTATAAAGGGTTCTCTCACAGGTCTGTGAGTTTGCTCTGCAGGTTTCATGAACTCCTAGTCCCAGCCTGCCCGTGTAGAGTTTACCTGTTGCCCCCAACACCAGGATCTAAAATTAATAGAGGATGGAATGGGCAAGGACAGATAGCAGTAAAAATCCCATAGATCTCAAGAAATTAAACAGGCTTTGAGTGAGTAGAGGGAAGAGCCATTTTGAAGCTGTATAATTAGAACTAACCTTAAGATGTTCGAAGAACAAAGAGAATGGAGGGAACTGGTTCCTGAAGAAAGAAAAGGTAAAAGTGGGTGGAAAGATTGGTGTGCAGTGCCAGGTGATGACAGCCAGGTTAAGAGGTTTAAATTTGTTGTGACTCAAAGGGCTAAGCTTCCAGGCATTCTTGGGCTGAGGTATGGCTTGGTGAAATGATGTTTAAGCAAGATTAGGGCAGCAATGGAATGTAGGGTAGATTGGAGAAAGCAAAATCAGAGGTCAATGGTTACCAAGCTCATGGGTGATGAGTGCTAGGATTAAGGAGGCTAACACAGAAGTGATGGGTATCAGACACTTTGAAGGGGAAAAGATGTACAGGGCAGTGACTTCTTGGATATGGGCATTTCAACTAAATGTACATAGGAAGTAGGCAGGGAGGCTGCCATAGGTTCTGGGGAGGGGTTGGAGTGACTGAGAGCATTGTGCAGAGAGCAATATACAGGGAAAGACTGAAGGAAAGGAGAGATAAAGGTGTCCTCATTTGGTCTCCTAGATGCTGAAATAAAGAGATGCCTCAGAGGAAAATTCAAGGCAGAAAAGATGGGCTTTAATTAGAATGTCAGCTGAGAAGAAACAGAGAAAGAATAAAGTAACTTGTCTGGATTTTCACAAATGTTGGCACCATCAACAGGAAGAGGGAGATAACAAGGGAAGACAAGCCTGGAAGGGAAGCTGAGTATCACTAAGCCTCTGGATGCTCTGTGGGAATACCTAGGAGGGCCTCCAGGCAGGGAGAGCAGTTGGGTAAGGTGAGATCAAAGATTAAGGACCTGTTCAGCATTGAATTCCTGTACCAGAGCAGATGTGGCACCCATCTATACACCTGGACCACCTTGGGTTTGCTCCAGAATCAAGAGCCAAGGACAAAATGGTGGGGTGGGCAGGGACATGAATCAAGAGTGGTTCAGAGAACCCTGAGACACCAGCATTTGCTGTTATTCCCCAGAGTTCTCCAGCAGGCTCCTGTTTGCACAGCACATCTAACTTCTGCATCCAGCACAAATTCTCCTGGTTCCCAGGTCTGCAGGAATATGGGTGCAGGACTGAGGGGCCTCCTGAGCACAGTTCAAATCACTTAGATCCAAAGGAGTGATGACTGAGCCCAGTCACGGGTAACAGGTGGAAGGACAGGGTGAAAGCCACACCAGTCTTCTTGCGTGCAGCCTGTGGTGACCCTAGGGCTCTGAGCTTGGAAGTGGCAGCTGAGACCAGCTCATCCCACACTTCCACATGGAGCCTACCTGGTCCTCAAGCCTTTGTGGCTGAACAAGACCCTTCCCTCCTCCTCCCTCTTCTCTCTCTGACTCGGAACTCAGGTGCTGCTCTCAATTTGTCTCTTTTCAGCATCGTGGAATGTGGACTTGCCTTTTTCTGCCTTGTTGCTCTGTTAATCCCTGCATTTAAAAATCTCTATCAATCTCAACTTCCAATCAAGAAAAATGTTTCCCCCTTTTCTCTGCAGCTGACGTTAGTGTTTTTCAATCCTCCCTCTCTCTCTCTCTCTCTCATATTAGGGGTATTCTCTTATATAACCTGTCAAATTACTGACTTTTTCTCCCTCATTAATAAATATAGTTTTTAATTACACATGTAAGATAGAATCCATTTTTTAAAATTAAGCATTACAGTCCAAACTAGCACTGTTACCATTTCTTCCTCCAACCCAAGAATGGCTTGCTCCATTCTTCCAGAGGTTACCATGATTGTGAGTTTGGTCTCTATCTTTCTTTATCATTATTCTATTTCTTAACAAATATAGATATCCCAAAGTGGAAGAAACCAGACTCAGACTCAGATATAGTATAATTTCATTCATACAACATTTTGGAAAAGATAGAATTATAAGGATAGAGAACATGTCAGTGGTATTCAGTTACTAATTTCTGTCAACTATTAATTTAGATCTATCCCTATTGATATGTAAAGTCCTTGTTCATTCCTTTTTAGCCACTATAGAATTCTTCCATTATATAAATATATTGTTTTTTACATATACAGTCTCTGAGTCATGGACATTTAGACTGTTTCTGATTCTTTATTAATACAAAAGAACAATTAATAATAACATTGTGCATATTTGAGGGAGTTTCACTACAGTCTGTATATAAAAGTAGAATCATTGGATGGTAAAGTATGCGTTTTCAGATTTAATAAATACCATCAAGCTGCCCTCTAGAGTGGCCATACAAATTTGTACTCTCACCAAAAACAGTATGGCAATACTCAGTTCCTCAAATACCTACAACTCTTTTTATTATGGAACTAACCAAACTGTTCCCCCAACTGCTTTTACTGCACTTCTAGAGCACTCAAAATGACAAAACTGTATTTGAACATGGCCTGCACCAGACCCGTGTCTGAGCCAGATGGAGTGTACCCTGCAGGATCTCTATACACTGTGTTTGAAGAGGCTTAAGTGCTTTTTTCCTGTTAACTCTGCATGTGGATGAATTTGCTTACTATCAAAAGAGCCAAAAGTTGGAGGGCGGATCTTGGGAAATACTTGGAAGTAAAAATAAAAGTGGAAGAAGAACAAGAAGAAGTAGTCAAAAGCATGAAAGAAAAACAGCCCAAGAAGATATGGAAAGAACTGACAAGGAGTTGGGGGCAAGAGGGTTTGGGGGGGACAGGGGTGTGTTTATTATCTATTGAGCCCTTGTTATATGCTGGGTTCTGTGCTAGTGACTTTGCAAGCATATTCTATTTAATCTTCACAATTAACTTTAGGAAGTATTAGCATGCTTGTAACTCTGAGACATCCTAACTGGTTTCCCAGAGTCCCCCTGGGTGATTAACCTCCAACTGTCCAAGGTGGCAATTTGCATGATAATGCAGGCTTCAAGGGCTTCTCCTTTCCCAGTTCACTTCCTTACTCTCCCAGTATTTCCAGCTCCACCTCCTAAATCAGTTACTTGTACTCACACCCTTGCACCAAGGTCTCAACTCTGTCACTGTGGCTAAGGAGGGGAGGCCCAGGATTTAGTCTTTCTCACTCCTCATGGGTCTGGTGCATCAGAAAAGAGGTGAGTTGGTGACCCAGCAGCAGGTTTGAGAGTCTGCAGGCAGGTGGAACTAATGGGAGGCTGGTTAGCTGAACAATGCTGGGGGACAGGAAGCAGTTGTGGATTGCTGCCACCCTTGAGCCCAGCCAGGCAACCAGGAGCCAGAACCACAAGGCCCATGGCCTGGAGGAGCTGGAAGCCCCATTCCCAGGGATGTCAGATCCTCTCTCCCATTTAAGCCATTGGCTCCCACCCCCCATTTAACAGCCATCTTGCAAAGGATTCTGGGAAGGAAGCAGAAGGTAAAAACCAGAAAGGCTAAAAAAAGAAGAAAAAAACCCCAGAAAGGCTGAGTGAGCATGGCATCATAGGACAATTATTGACTAGATTGGAGGAATGAAAAGCTAATTGTTTTCTCTTGCTCAAAGATGGGAGGCATTACAATAAGAGGAACTCCCCATCTCTGCCCAGTCCAGCTGTGTTAAACTGTGTGGTTCCACATGTAGCAGGTGGGGCTGAGCCATAGATGACTGTACAGAAGCCAGCCCCTCAGGATTCAAAAATCCTGGAGTAATAGCATGCCTCCGCTGACTGGAGAGACAGGAGATACATTTAACTATGTCTTCTGAGCTCACTGGGCTTGGAATTGGTCTCTTTCCAATCCTTGCACACTTTCAGGAGTGGCCCTTTGTTGTTTAAAAGTACCTCTCCACCCCTGAAGTCTGGCCCTCTAGTAACAGGATGTTACACAGATACGGCAAGTTTTCCAAGAGACTGTGGCTCTCCCTTCTGGAGGATATCAGTGTGAAAAAAGGCATATGTCCCCTCCATTTTGAATTCCCCAGGAGTGGCTTCTTCTGCAACCTGCTAAGACTGGACCTGGCTTCCCCCAGCTCAGGTGGGACCCTCTCCACCCTTTGGGCCAGGTGAATAAACAGCTGCTACTGAGAAGCTGCTCAGGAGGAAGCATGTAGCTGTCCAGCTTTAGAACTCCAGCTTTTCACTAAATAACACAGACTTGGTTATTGCAGGGAGAGAGTACCATTGTAGAGAAAAAAGGAGGCTACTTTAAGGAATTTACACAGCACTTTGCACTGGGGCAGGAGTTTAATTATTTATCCGCAGCCAACCAACTCTCAAAGGCTCAGCTGACAAAGCCTTAGCCCTTCTCAGGGACCATTAGAGGCAGCAGTTTGAAGCCGCACACTTGAGTTGACACGCAGGGAGTCTGATGTCCTGAACATTATCTGAGAACAGGGCTCTGGGCCATTTCCTCTCCTGGCAGCACAGTGTCTTTTCATAAGGATAAGCTCAAAATGTTAGGGCCAGAGGCCAGGCTGCAGCTGGGGGCTGGGAGGTGGGGGCTGTAACCATAGCAGCAGCAAGAACAGCACCAACAGTGGGGTTGGTGCATTGCTTTGGGGACTTTCTGTGTGCCAGGCCACAGGAGGCCCCTTCCCACTCCCAAAGCAGCCCTCCCTGGACACTGACCCCATGTTACATTTCAGGAAACTTGGGCTAAGAGAAGGGATTTGCCCCAAATCCTAATCCTACAATGGCTGAGTGACTAAGCCAGGAAGCTGCCATACTGGCTTAGAAATCTGAATGTTTATCTCCCAGATTCGGTTTCCTGCTTGACACAAGACAAACAGGATGGGTCGTAATCTTTCTACTTTATTTAAATATTTTTTTCAGTAGGACCTTTGTGCACAGTCCTGCTTTCCCCTCGGGGTGGCAAACAAATGCGGTGACCTTTCTTTGCCATCTCACAGACACTGAATCTTCCCGGACAGACTTCTCCACGTACTTCCCAACACAGGTTTGTGTTCCAGTTCTAGAAACGCACCTGGGAAACAAGAATATGTGGGAAAGAGACCTGCCCTTGGCTCCTGTACCCTCAGCTGAATAAACTAAGCCTCTAGAAGTGTTTGCGTGAGTACATTCCCCTGAGCACCCAATGTCCAATAGTCTGTTTCCATGCAGCATTTGAAAAATAGCAAATTCAAATTCTACTCTGGCCCCTCCAACCTGTACCTGTGATCTGGTTTCAGTCCTATCAGTCTTATCTCACATGACAATCGCCACCATGCACCTTTTAGGTGACTTTTCTGTAGCCTATTATTAAGGTTTCTGAGGAAAGGTCCTTACACATAACTTGTGTTTCTGCCCACCATCATACCCCGCAGGGACACCTCCCAGAGCCGGTCCTGGGAGACAGATGACCCAGCCAGGTGTGACTAAAGCCTTTATATATCTCAGGGAACAGATGCCTTGTTTGGATTTCCCACTGGTCTGGAATAAGAGCAGACAACATGACCCTAGGATGTAGATAAAAGTGAATCTCGAATCAGATCAATTGGGCTTTTCTTTCATAAATCAGGTTATGTAATGTGTTCCGCCACCTTTAAGTCTCCCTGGTCCATGCCAAACTGTACTTATACTAATTGCTTCTGACACAGTGCCCAGAGCGCCGGGATAAAATCCCATAACGCTGACTTGAGCCTCACAGGGTACAACACTGAAATCTTATACTTTGGCCCTGTTCACACTAGGATGCTCTTTAGCCCCCTCTAAAGTGTCTCTGCATCTGTTACCACCAGTGAGGCCTCCAAGGTTGCCAGGAAAGAGCAGCAGCAGGAAGTCTGAAAGGGCAGAGGAAGAAATAGTCTGGGGAGAGGTGGAGTCACAGAATGGGAGCCTTTGGCAAGGATGCAGGTACACAGGAGCAGGGGTGTGGCTGCAGCCTGGGCCACAAGGAGCATGCACTGGTAGGGTGGCAGAGGGACCACTCTCTCTGGCAGCAGGTGGCTCTCTTGGCCACACCCAGCAGGCAGGCAGGGGACCCTGGGAACACGATCTCCTGGGCACAGGATAAGATAGAGAAGGGAGAATGGAGTCGTGAAAGAAGTGGAGACATTCCTGTTTCCACCCTGAGTGTAAAATGCCCACACAGAAGACAGGATACCCAGGGCTCAGGGGGTTCAGTAGTTTGCCTGAGTTAAGTGACGAAACCAGAGATCCAGACCAAGGCTGTCTGACTCTGGAGCCAGTAATCCAAGGCACTCCATGACATGTCCACTGTGGTCCCCAGCCCTGTCTATTGAACAAATCTATTACGTCCCCTGTGGCAAGCAGCATACATCCCAGAGCCTCCTTCTCCAGCCAGCTTCCTGTTCCAAGAAAGTAATTTCAACACATCACCACCACTGTTGCTTACCCTGGAACAGAGTTGATTTTGGTTTCATCCTACATGGCCTCACAGACTGCCATGAGCCACTGTCCTCCTGGGAAGATGCCTGTGTCCACTCATTTTCTACTACTGTAGCAAAATTCCTGAGGTGGAGAAATTAATAAGAAAAAGATGTCTGCTTGCCTCACAGTTTTGAAAGTTGAAAATCCAAACAGCACAGCATCAGGTCTGACCAGGGTGCCCTGACTGCGTCACCTCAAGATGAGTGGCATCGTGGCAGGACTGTATGTGTGAAGGAGAGATCACACAGCATGACAGGAAGCCAGAGAGCCATGGAGGGCCCCTGGAAACTGTGTCACCCCCTTCTAAGGGAGTGTCCCCAGGGACCAATGACCTTCCCCAGTAGGTCTCACCACTTAAAGGCCCCATACTTCTTAATGTCACCACTCTGGAGACCAAATTTCCCATACCTGAAACATGGGGGGACAAAAAACATAACCAGTAATCCTAGTGCTCTGGGGGGTGCAGAGAGGAGGATTGCAAGTTTAAGTCCAGTTTGAGCAACTTAATGACCCTTAACAAGATTGTGTCTCTAAATAAAAAAGGGCTGCAGGGCCGGCTATTTAGCTCAGTGGTTCTGCTGCCTGCCTCACAAGCGCAAGGACCCGGGTTCGATCCTCAGTACCAAAAAAAAAAAAAAAGGGCTGTGGATGTAGCTCAATACAAAGGCTCTGGGTTCAATCCTCAGTGCTGGCAAAAAAATCCAAACCATAGCAATACTTCACATTCAATTCTCTCCCTATGCCACACCACTGGGTGGAGAGCTGACTGGTGAATGTGAGAGCCAGTGCTCCCTCTAGTAGGCCCTGTAGACTGTCATCTCTCAATACCCGCAGCCTGCTTACAGTGTAGGGGCCTGTGACTAACCTTTCATTCCCTCTGCCGAGCCAACACTATGAGTGAGCCAGAGCTGTACTATGAAGTGCAGGAAAAGCACAGAGGTAATTACACCAGGAAATAAGAGTCCCTTGATCACTTCTGACTTATCCTTGCCAGCTTGGGCTTTTGGGTTTGAGAGGATGTGGCCATTCTGCCTGATGACAGCCTGTCCAGAGAGCCCTTCTCTGCTATCTTCAGCCTTCCCAGGGATTTGCTTCATTGCATAAATCACCAGAGACTTGGAATGATAATACACAGCTTTTTGTGGCAAACATACTTTAAAAATCTAACCCTTGAATCTGGAAAACTTTGAGTGACAAAATTAACGATGATAATGAGCCATAACCTACAGAATACAGTAAGTGCCTATGAATTCATATTATAGAAATAAATAATTAAATATATAAATAAATAGGGAAGGGGGAAAGCTTTTCCCAATTACAGCAGCAGAAACCTAATTAATAAATGTACAAGACACTGATGGAATAAAGTTCTTTTGGATTGGATCATCTTTCCAAAAAAAAGTACAAGAAATGAGGCAGTTAGAAAATCACCATTTGGCAAACTCCACAGCAATAATTGTTCCAGACAAGAAGTGTCAATGAAAAAAAAAGTTATCAGGTGAAAATGTGAAAACAAATTATTTGCATAGTCTCAAAGTATCTTCCCACAAGATAATTATTAATTTTAAGGGGCAAAGGTAGAATTTTACAGAGAAACCTGGCAGACACTACCTTAATGAAACAATCAGAGTCAGCATCACTGTAATGAGATTCATTGGCATGTTGCACCTTCTGATACAGACAAGGTACGAAATCAAGTCTGCATGCTCCCACCCAAGATTTAATCGCAGACAAACATTAGGAAAACCCAAACTGACAACCTGTCTCCAAAACAACCTCCTAGAAGGCCTCAGATATGAAAGTTGGAACAGGTAAGAGAAGGACTGAGGAATTGTCCGAGGCTGGAGGCCACTGAGGAGATGAGATTCCCAAATGTAATGCTGAGCTTTTGACTGGGTCCTGGACCAGAAGAACTGACATTCATTCATCTGACAACTGGAAGAAATCTGAACAAGGTCTATGAGCCAATTAACAGTGTTGTATCAGTGTTACTCCTGGCTTTGATCAACGGTTATATGAGATGTTAACATCAGTGGAAGCTGGTTGAAGGGTATAAAGAAATCTGTGCACCGACCTTGTAATTCCTTTGTCATTATTTACAATGGCCAGTGTGGTGGACTAACTAATGGTCAACTTGGAACACCCAGTTGAACTGAGTCAGGATGGTTCTGGGCCTGGAAGACTGACCTGAGAATTGTTGCCAAAGGCATAAGAAAAAACTAGAGGGAAAGATTGTGGGCTATTGATTTTCCTGGAGAAGTTTTCCAAGGCTGGTTTTCCTGATACAAACTCAACTTTTCTCATCCTCGGAGGATCTCACTGTCACTGGGGATGGCTGATGTTTTCTCCAGGGGAGCTCTGGTCTTTGCCTTGAGCTTCGCTTCCTGGCTTCAGTGCAGATCCCTCAGCCTGTTGGCACAAATCCTTCACCTTGCCAACACAGACTTTCTAGTTTCCATTACTGGTCCTTGGGCCTTCCCAATGTGGATCCGCGATATGGACAAGCATGAGACAGTGCCATGAGCTCTAGGCCTCCGGCTGGACTCGTGGAGGACACTTCCATGGGTTTTAGGCCTTGAGCTGGATTTGTGGGGACACTGCTGTGGGATCCAGGCCCTTGGCTGGATTCTTTGGGTCTCTAGCACTTGGACAGATCTCTTGCACCCTCTGCATTTGACTTTTTTGGGTGACTATTATAAAATAATCCTATACATTATGTGTCCTGTATTAAATCTATTCCCTTGAAAACCCTGACTACAACAGCCAGTTTAAAAACATTAATTAAAAATAAACTGATTCTCCCATTGCTGTTTTCCTATATATTTAAATCATGATTAGATGCAATAAATGGATTTACATCACTTAAAACACTTCCACTGTATTTCTTATGGATTTCTTCTACCTGATTCATTCTCTGCAAGTCTCTCCATTGTAATTTGCTCTCTAAAGCAAATTTCAAAACTGTGAAAAGGGTAACAGCTCTAAGTGTCCCTTTTTCTGTTCCTCTTTCAGATAGGACTCCACATTATTTTTTCTCATATCTCTTCCATCCTTCCTAATGAAAACAGTTGGTGAGTGGGGGGTGGATGGATGAAGAAAGCAAAAGAACCACTCCCCAGGGACAGGAAACACACGATATAGTGCTCCTGGGAGAAAACGAGCGGGCCCTTGCAGGAAAAGGCTCTCTGCTGGCCTGGGAAGTGGCAGGTGCTAGGTCGACCCTCAGGGCTCAGCAGCCCTGCCAGCTCCATGCACAGCTCCCTGTATCCATGTACCCTGGCCTTTTCTCATTTGGTGGATAACTAACTGAACAGCACTGGGCAGTTTGCAAGTGTTAGGGATACGGCCTTAATGCCCAAGATCCAAACTTCAACCACTAAGAGGTGGAAATTGGTGGATAAATATCCCAGCTCCCTTGACCCTCAGTAGGGAAATAATAATAATGAATTGTGTTCCACACAGTTCTTAAAGATTTCCAGAGAGATTGATAAACCCAGGACCTTCATGCTGAGCCACATTCCCACTTCTACCCCCTTTTTTGGATACAGGATCTTTCTTCATTGCTAAGTTGCCTAGGCATAGCTCAAATTTGTGATCCTTCTGCCTCAGCGTCCCAGAGCACTGGGATTACAGGCTTGAACAACCATGCCAGCTATAACCTGCTTTTGACCTACCTCATACAGGTCCTCTCCCTTGTTTGGTCACTTTTTCATTCCTTTTCTGCGCAACCTGCAATCACCTCCCACATCGATGACCTGCAGCCAGATCCTTGTCTCAGGATCTGCCTGTAGGGAAAACAGAGCCAAAGACACAGGGAAATCTGGCTCCCAGGCCACCTGCATGCAGACAAATCCCCAGAGCGCTGTCTGAGGCTCCCACAGAAGGGCCACCTCTGACCCCACACTTTCTCTCCAGCTCAAGGTTCAAGGTTCTTCTGGGATGGACTGTGGTGCTTGTTGTTGGGTGCCTCCATCACTCCTTAACTTTGAGAAATGGGAGACTGGTTTCCATCTGTGATTTTAAGGCAGCCCGGCTGCACTGTTGCAGGTACACATAGCTCGGAAACTAACTGGGTGCTTGTGTTACTACTAAATGCAGTCCAGGGAAACCTAATGAGCCACCTGGTAAACATCAGCAATGTTAAACTCCTTAACCCTTGCACCACCCACCCCCCAAAAAACCCAGTAAAACATGAAGTCCAAGCAAAGTCAGGCCAGCCTAGGCCACAGGAGCCATGGTCCAGGGGAGGGGACCCTAATTATCTGGCTGGAAGTGAGTGATCCACCTCCTGTCTGCAGGCATTAATACAAACCTCTCAGGGCCTTTTAGTTGGTCCACTAAGTTGGCTTAAAATGTTTAGTTTTCTTTGTGGACCTGTACAAGCTTGAAAAGGAAGCTTTTTTAACAAAGAACCTGAATGACCTAGGCAAAAAGTTGCTAAGATTTAGCCTTTAAGACTATTTTGTTTATTTAAGAGAGTACCATTCAAGTCCTTATCTGCTTTATTTTAAAGTACTGTTTTTTATGATCTAAAGTAATACCTGCTTTTGTACTAGATATGAAAAGAAATGATGGTGGAAACAAAAGTCACTGCCCATGTGAAATCCAGGAAAACATTTGGGGGTCTCGTTTTCTTCTTGCTGCATTATGTAGAATTGTAAATGTAAGTATATGTTGGTACAGTTGTAAAATCAGTATCATATTATACATAAAATTTTCTGTTTTTCCTCTTTCAAATCTAACATTATAAAACTAACATTTTCACCTGGCATGGTAGCATATACCTGCAATCCCAGCACTTGGGAGGCTGAGCTAAGAGGATCATAGTGAGTTCAAGGGCAGCCTGTGCTACATAGTGAGACTCTGTCTCAAAAAGCCACACACACACAAAAAAAGGCTGACATTTTCTTTGGGCATGATAGATTTGTAAAGTAATTCTAGTGGCTGCACACAGGATATTTCATTGAATGAACAATCTGTAATCATTATTTTTCCACTACACACTTAAGTTAGTTAGTTATATTTTTATGGCATTAAACAGTATTGTACTATCTGCATATGAAGAGTGCTGTGATGGGTACCTGCACATTTCAATGTTCCTACAATTTCCTTAGGGTGCTTGCTACATGGAGATTTATAGGGACAAAAGAAAGATTTATTTAAGTCCAAGTTTCCTCCTAGAAAAGCTGTCCTGATTTATAATCAAACCAGTTGCCCATTGGTACATTTAACTATTCATTTAAAATCTACTTTCCTGACTTGATTGAAGAGCAAGAGCATCCTGATTTTGATTAATTTGTAGTTCTTTGCTTGGTAATAAAATTGGTAATAATTTCGTTTTTGAACTTTTTGCATTCATTCCCCAAATTTTCATTCCCCAAATTTTCATTCTTTATGTATTTTTAATTGGCAAAATATAATTTTGTCTATTTATTGGGTACAATGTGATGTTTTGACCTATGTATACACTGTAGAAAGACTGAACAAACTAATTAACCTATCTATGGTCTCACTGATATTGTTTTCATGATAAGGTTAAAAATATTTTCTAAAGTAATTTTGAAATGTACAATAGATATTATGGACTATGGTCACCACACAGCGCAAGAGATCACCACAGCCTTTGTCCTTTTTGCCACTGGAATTTCAGCGACTATCTTCTATAAGGTCAATATACACTAGAGATAGAAGCCTGTGTTCTATCACAATTACTGCAAGTATTTTTCTGGTTTGTAATCAGACTTGTGCTTGCCATGCTTTTTAAAAAGTTGTTCCCATGTATTTCTAGTTTTGAAACTTGCTTTAAATTTTTACATTTAATTCCTTACCCTCTGCAGAATATACGTTGGTATAAATGATCTATTTCTACTATGTTATTTTTAAAGCCATTTGGTTAAGTATGTTAGGTATAGAGCACTAGAAATTTTCTGAATGAGGAACTAAAGTTAAACAGTCCAAAACCAGCAAAGGAAGACTCTGCTGGTGGCTTTTGCATCCTTGGATCTGCTGATTCCAATTTTGAAAAGTGAATGATAAAAACGTGTTTCAGAAGCTTAAATATTTCTGCAGGGCATGGCGGCGCATGACTGTAATCCCCAGCACTTGGGAGACTGAGGCAGGAGGATCGCCATGAGTTCAAGGCCATTCTGAACTACATAGCGAGACACTCTCCAAACAAAAAGAAGAAGAGGAGGAAGCATAAATGTTTCTCGAGGACTATTATGGGACCTGTTTCTCTTGGACTCTTTGTTCTGGGCCTTTCTGTGGGTGGGTGAAGACTGCAGCAGGAGGCATCGGACTCCACTTCCTTGGCCTCCTCCTGAGGTCTGCACCTCGCCACCATGAGGGCTGGAGGAAGCCCCTCCATCAGCCAATCATCTGCTGCAAAAGTGTTTGTTCTTCCTGCAATGAAGCAATGATGGATTTGCTCAAAAAGGAAGCAGCTAGCAGAATGACCTCCTTGGTTTTGGCAGGCTTTAGATGTTTCAGCAAGAAAAGACTTTTTAAAACAATCCTCACCCAAAAGACACCCCAGCTACCTTGCAGATGGTTATGGCCACCAGAATATCTATTCTCCGGGCCTTGGTGGAGCGGTTGCATGGTGGCATCTCAGTAGCTCCTGAGACTCCAGTCTTTGTCCATTGTTTTGTCTTTGTATTGTCATAGCCTGATGTGGCTTTTGCTCCCAGCCACATTCGTTCACTGTGCTTTGTCAGTGGGACCTGACTTTCCCAAGGGGCCTCCTAGCCTCAGTCTCTCACCTGTGGGCTTGTCTTCCTCCCTCACTCGCCGCAGCCATGGTCTGGGCCTGTCCTGTCCCACCTGAGACTAGGGGACCCTGCCCGGAGAGAGCAGGCCAAGCAGAGCAGGGTCTGGCCACACATTGGGCTTGAGCCCCATAGCTGCTCCATCCAGTCCTGCCTTCTGCTACATGAACTAAAAATTCCCTTTCTACCCTAACACCAGCTTGAGATGGGCCTCTTCAGGGCTGCACCAGAGAAGGTTTCCCTGATAGTGCTATGCTGTTCTATTCCATACACACTTATGACTTCAATTACAATGAAGAGGGTGAAGGTAGACTTTTTAAAATAACTTTTTTAGCCAGCGTGGTGTTGCATGCCTGTCATCCCAGGACTTGGGAGGCCGAGGCAGGAGGATCACTGTGAGTTTGAAGCCAGCCTGGGCTACACAGTGAATTCAACCTCAGCCTAGAATATATAGTGAGACCCTATCTCAAAACAGATATGAAAATGTAACATTTTATATACAATAATTACACAATTCTTCAATATCTGCTTGGTGTTTCTTTGTTGTATTAGAGGTTGAATCCAAGGCCTTGAACATGCTAGGCAAGTACTCTACCACTGAGCCACCCTAGCCCCTTGGTTGGGTGATTTTTCCCAAATATATACACCTGCACACCCAAGACAAGGTATAGAGTTTATCTCTCCTTCCATGGAGTTCTCTCTCTCTCTCTCTCTCTCTCTCTCTCTGAGACAGGGTCTCACTATGTATTCCAGGTGGGCCTCAAACTCATGCTGGGATTAAAGGCATGCACCCCTCACCATGGCCAGCACTTCTCTATTTCTAGTCCACCTCTACTCCCTCCTTGCAGAGCCACATTTGGATTTCTATGCCTAGAGGTTGACTCTGGCTGTCCTACAACATCATATGATTGGGATGAAACACCTAGTGTCTAGCTGCTTTCACTCAGCATCACATCTTGAAGACTCCTTGTGCTGGTATGTGACTCAGTTGTCCCCTCTGTGTTCCTTCTGCACTGTTTTCTGCCATATGGAAGTGCAGTTTGCTCACCCTTTCTCTTGTTGATGGATACTTTACACGGTTTTGGAGATATCTCTTGTCCATATTTGTGTCACACAAAATCCCAAAGCCCAGTGTGACACATGATAGCACAGACATGAAAGCTCATAGCTGAGACCACAGAGGTAGGAGGGGTTCAGTTATCAACATGAATTCACATATGTGCAGGCACTCAGACAGCAGTTGATAAAAACAACCCATGGTCCCAAGTTTGATCCCCAGCACCAAAAAACGCCCCAAACAAACACAAAAACAACCCAGCCACCAGGGAGCTCCTCTTACAGAGGCTGCTTTCTTTGCAAAGAAATCACTTCAGATATTATTTTATTTTATTTTAGAGACAGGGTCTCCCTATGTAGTTCAGGCTGCCCTGGAACTCACTATGTAGCCCAGGCTGGCCTTGAATTTGCAGTGATCCTCTTGCCTCAGCTTTCTGAGTGCTAGGATTATAGCCATGCACCATGGGATGACATCCATGGTTAAGAGGTAAGAGTGCCCCTCAGCACAAGTGTGTCCTCCACACAAGTGTGTCAGTCAACTCTGCAACACTGTGATAAAATGCCTAAGAGAAGCAGCTTAAATCATGAAAAGGTTTGACTCACAGTTTTGGACGACTCTGTCCATGATCACCTGGTCCTGCTTCTGTCCGGCCTGTGGCCAGGCAGAATCACCAGGACAGGGATCTCTTGGACTGCAGAGCTGCTCACTTCAAGGCAGCAGAAAGCAGAGAGAGAGCAGAGGTCTAGGTCCCAATGTACCCTCCAAGGCCACACTCTCAGTGACTCAACTTCCTCCACCAGACCCAGCCTCCTGACAGTCTCACCGCTTCCCAGTAGCACCATCCGGGCCGGGGATTTAGCTCAGTAGTTCCACCACCTGCCTCGCAAGTGCAAGGTCCAGAGTTTGATCCCTGGTACCAAAAAAAACCAAAAACCAAAAAACAACCAGTAGCACCATCCACTGGGAACCAAGTCCGCAGTGCCTCAGCTTTCAGGACCCTTCCAGTGCAAACCTCATACAAAGTCCCCGAATGTGCACCCACAGGTAGGCTCTG